GACTGGATAGGAAATGGATGCACGGCACAGCGGTACACCAGCCTACCACCACGATCACCACCACCTCAACTACTTCGCACCACACCTACTCCCACCCAGCAGGATGAGAAATGAAAAAGGGGGGCCAGCAAGTGGCTTCCTTGGACAGAATCAAGACCAAACTGAAAACTCAACTGGGACTTGGCATCCTATAACTTGGTGTGGATCTCCCTGAGGACACCGTGAGGCTTCCTTGCCTCCCTCAAGACTACTGCACTCAACCACGCCTCCAGCACACTTCACTTGGTGACCAGATCTAAACGTAGTGGAGGGGAAATCTCTGTATCAAAATGTAACTAGCCAATATTATATACAAACGACCCTGCAAACACATCTGCGAGCTTCCAGCATGTTCCATATGACTCATCTGGTCACGTCGCAAGAGAAAATAGAATAGGAAACACAATATCACAAGCAACAAAATATAAAACAATAGAAAGTGGCTGTGGAAAACCTAACTTGCATCTCCGGCCCAAACCACTCGACACAACTGCGCTCCCTTTATGTCAACCAACTCTCTTAAACTACAGCTATCCAACGCAACAAACCGCATCCAATTTGATGGAGAATTGAGTGAGATAGCGTTGAGGTGGGGAATATCCGGCACATTTTTCCTAACTTTCCAACCACATGTCACCATAGTCCCAAAATTGGCACATCCTCCCGACCAGTTATATCATAAACAATGGATATTTATCCCTATTTTTCTGAAGCCTGAGGGATGCCAGGGACCGTCTGTGCACCCCATTTCTCACGCGTGCGCAATGAACATGTGACATGCATCATGATACACAACTGGAATCCACATATCTCTGTGAATACCTCACCGATTCTCCTCGCATAACATGCATTGGAATCGCCTTGATGCTCTCTACCATCCATACTATAACCTCATCACCTAATTCCTAGCCAACTTTCCACTGTATGTTTTCCTAACATTCTTCATGAAGGACCAGATATATTGCCTGTTCTGGGGTGTCTGTGACCACCACCCCTATGATGTAGAGGTAGATTCTGCATTCAGCCTTGAAGCGGTTGAGGTCCTTGCTGACTCCCAAGAAGGGGGTGGGGGGGTGTCAGGGATGGTACAGGAGAGGCGGGAGTGGTGGCGTGGCCCCCAGCGCTAGCGGCCTGGGCGGCAGCAGAGTAGCGGGATTGTATAGCGAATGGCCCTCACTCAGGCTCACATCCCTGTCTGGCTTCTTAGGCTGAAGCAGTAGTGATTGTTATTAGGATGAAAGACTAAACTAAACTAAAGTAAGACACTTGCCTGAAGCAGTAGTGACAAGAAGGCTGCTTCTTCGGTTCTGCCTCGGCTCAGTTTATATACAGGTGGGAACGGGTCACGTGGGGGGTGCCACGTCAACCTGGGTGGAGCTGGGTTATTGCGGATGGCTCCATGGGCGATCCCGAGTGTCAGAGGGGAGAAGTACAAATGAAGATGTGCAGCGTATCCGGCGGCGCAGTATCCACATGGAGTACTCGGCACTGGATGTGTCCGTGTGTCAGGGCCCAGCCTCTGTCCAGGGGTGGCCCTACCTCAGAACTGGACACTTGCGGTGTCCCAGGCAGCCAAGTGCTGGATCCTACCCCAAGCTCCTCAAACTCACTAAGCGGGGATTGAGTTGTCATGTATTATGGAAGGTAGCTACAACTTGCCTAAGCAGGGATTGAGTTGAGAAGAAGGGTAAGTTTCCCTATTCCCCGCTTGGCTACTATAAAAGGGAAATGTACTATACAGTTTGTAACGTGACTAAGGGTAGGAGCCGAGCATGTTCCCGCGATGTGGAAAAGGTGTCACATGGGTTAAGGCGAGTTGCTTGCCTTGACCCACGTGATTTTTCCCACGGGTTCGCATGCGGGCTGTAGTTGCGAAAGGTGTGTGAAGATGGGAGGATCAGGGAAGTGGGGGGAGGTCAGGGGAGGTGGTTCTGGGGTTGTATGGTCAGGTGTGGTTGCCCTGACACTGTGCTACATGGGTAAGGGGGAGGTCAGGGGAGGTGGTTCTGGGGTTGTATGGTCAGGTGTGGTTGCCCTGACACTGTGCTACATGGGTAAGGGGGGAGGTCATCTGTGTAAAGAAAGAAAGGAAAGAAGAGAGGGAAAGAAGGGAGACAAAGGAGAAAGGGAAAGAGGAGCAATGGGAGGGTGCGGCGTGGAGCGGAGCGGCATGCCCTGAGAGCGGAGCGGCATGCCCTGACAGGGGGGCAATGTAATGGGTCTATCGCTCTAGACTTGTGACTTCAATAGTTTGCAATAAAAGGAATTGAGGTTGGTGTTCTCCGGTTGAATATCCAATTCAAGGCATCAGCAAAAAATTGTTATGCTCCTGAGTGCTCTGGAGTATGGAGAGCACTGGGAGAATCAGGAGGAGATTGGCCAGTCCAGGAACAGCTCATTTCCTCTGGAGTTGGCCAGGTACTCCAGGGCACTCCCAGGAGGGCATGGAGCATTGCTTTGTGCACAAACATATCCAGTAAATACAATTTAAATGCTTCAAAGTGTATAGGGGTGAGAAGCTTCTGGGAACTCCTGGAGCATTTGAAAATGAAAAGGAAAAAAGAGGGAAGATTCCCCATGAATACCTCCTACCACAAGACTAACACAACAAGACACTGCTTAACATTTAGATCAAACACTATACTTGTCAAGGACATGGTGAGGAGGGGCAGTGTTCCTGGACCTTTCCCCAAGGGAGGCCGGAGGTAGAGAATGGGTGGGAGGACTGTGGCCTCAGCAACTTGAGAGGAGCACTGTGCCTATGTTCAGTAACGCTTAAGAGTCTGGTCCTTAACTTCAGAATGAGGGGTGCGAACTCTGGGGGATAGTCATTTGTTGATTTTGCACTGAGGTGCCATCAACTACAGTACATGACTTATATACATAATACAAGACAAATTGGAACAAAGGGGAAAACCCAAGAGGGACTTACCCACTTGCCGGGTTGGCAAGCTTGTGAGAGAATCACCTTATTGAGCATTGTGGAGTGGGTAGGTGAAGGGTGGAATTAGCGACAGCTATTGGAGAGTGGGAAAACCTTTGTGGGGTGGCAGAGGTCCTAGGAGGTCCGTAGTAATATTAGGTAGGTAGAAATATTAATAAACATTTAAGGTGAGGATAAGAGGTACTGGAGAAGGTACCGGAGATCAGAGGCAGAGGTGAACCAGAGGTATACTGGAGGGTATGGTGGAGGTGTGGGGGGAGGACAGACTGGAGGTGGACCGGAACGGTGGTGGAGTAGAGTGGAGGTTAGGTGGAGTTGGTATGGATATGACAATACTATATATCAAGGACACTGAGACTCACCAATACATGATCAAAATTTATGGCCTGATATATGATTAATGTCATATCCATACAATCCCGACCTCTGCTCCGGGCTCCCGGAACTCCAAAACTGACTCCAGAGCCCTACTTCCTCCCTGTCACCTTCTCCTTGCTGACTCCCAAGAGGTTATTCCACCTCTGGCTCCAACACCACCTTCAGTCCGACTCCAGAACATTCCAGGTCCGACCTCAACCTCAACACCTTCCAGATGAGCATGCAACATCTATGCTCCTGACTCCGGACCTCTGCTCCGGAATCCCATTCACGTCTGTGTCTCCGGAACTCCAGTCTTAGCTCCGACCTCGGACTTTGACCCCACCTCTGCTTATACCCATTGTATTGGTTAGCCCATTCCATTTATTTACCTTTGCCAATATTCTGGAGTTTGGCCTCCGAGTTTGGACTTTCCGGACTTACTTCAGGCCTTGCAACTATTGCATTGTCCTATTCATTTCCACTATTCTCCCTCATTCCTATTTGGGCTGCTGCTTCCTTTCTATTCAGTCAGTCAGCCATTCCCCACTCCCATCCTCCTTCCTTCCTCCTTGGGCCTTGGCCCTTCACTCCTCCTTTGGGAAACACCATTGAGTCAAACCCTTGACCCTTGGTGTTGTTCCTCCTTCCAGCTCCCTTTGTCTGCTTTCGGAGTACCCTTGCTCCTTTTGATTCCAGACCCCTCCTTATATACAATGTACCTAGTAACTTGTAACCTCAGTCTGAAATTGACTTGATTCCCCCCTAAGAGACTTCCCCTCTGCTAGATCCAAAATTAGGGACCCCCAGGACAACCAGCAATGGCACAGCACTCCACCTGAGTCGCTGAGGCTGAGGTCCTTCCAATTCCACTCCGGAGTCGTCTGAATCCACCATATCTAACAATTAATCTGGCAACTTAATCACTTTCAGGCTTGCAGAATATGGAGGAGGGGGAAATGGGGGAGAATGAGGGGGGAATATAGAGGGAAATGAGGAAAATTTGAAAAATAGGGACTTGTAAAAAGTTGAAAAAAATAATTAGGGAAAAAATCAAAATTTTCAGGAACTGTAGTACCTTTGAAGTGCTTTCAGGATATATAATTATTTGCAAAATTGAGGAAGAAATGATGGAGAAAAATGGAAAATACTTTTGGAGACCTGAGAAATAATGAAAACTGAATTGATGGGAAAGTCTGAAAATTGAATAGGAAAGTGAGGGGAAGCCTTGTAGCATTGTTATTTTCTGCTGTTCTGATTTTTCCCAATTGTTCTTGGTCTCATTCCCAGCTGCTCCTCAATACTCCTGAAAGCTCCTGGGAGGGTCCAGGAGCAGCTGGGGAATGAGACCAAGAACAATCAGGAAAAATCAGAACAGCAGAAAATAACAATGCTACAAGGCTTCCCCTCACTTTCCTGTTCAATTTTCAGACTTTCCCATCAATTCAGTTCTCATTATTTCTCAGGTCTCCAAAAGTATTTTCCATTTTTCTCCATCATTTCTTCCTCAATTTTGCAAATAATTATATATCCTGAAAGCACTTTAAAGGCACTATAGTTCCTGATTTTTTTTGATTTTCTTTTTCCCTAAATTTTTTTTTCAACTTTTCAGAGACCAAAATTTTCCTCCCACTGCTCCTCATACTCCTCACTGCTCCCAGCTGCTCCTGAACCCCCTCCCAGGAGAACACTATTAGCTCCAGGAGTGCCCAATCTGCTGTTTTGTCTCCCACATGCTCCAGCCACTCTTGATGCTCCAGAGCATAATGGACTTTTGCTGATGAAGCATGCCCATCATGTGCAAGCAGCAATGCAATGATGAGGAAAACATGCTCAAATGTGAACCATTTGTGCCTTGGAATGATGAAGATTGTTAAGAGTATTATGTAAATCATTGAGTGACTTGGCCAATTTGGGGGTGTATGTTCCTGGGTTAATGGCAACTAGCTGGCGACAGAGTTTGACACTTTCTTCAATGAATGGGAGTGCCTCTGAGTGCTGTCCAAGATAGGAAAGAGCAATATGTAAATTGTTGAGTGACCCAGCCAAATACAGGGTGTATGATCCTGGGTTAACAGCAACTAGCTGGTGATAGAGTTTGACACTTTCTTTGATGAATGGGAGTGCCTCCGAGTGCCATCCAAGATTGGAAAGAGCACTATATAGATTGTTGAGTGACATGGCCAAATCTGGGGTGTATGATCCTGGGTTAATGGCAACTAGCTGGCGATAGAGTTTGACGCTTTCTTCAATGAATGGGAGTGCCTCCGAGTGCTGTCCAAGATAAGAAAGAGCAATATGTAAATTGTTGAGTGACCCAGCCAAAGATGGGGTGTATGATCCTGGGTTAACAGCAACTAGCTGGCGACGGAGTTTGATGCTTTCTTCAATGAATGGGAGTCCCTCTGAGTGCCATCCAAGATAGGAAAGAGCATTACATAGATTGTTGAGTGACATGGCCAAATCTGGGGTGTATGATCCTGGGTTAACAGCAACTAGCTGGCGATAGAGTTTGACACTTTCTTTAATGAATGGGAGTGCCTCTGAGTGCTGTCCAAGATTGGAAAGAGCGCTATATAGATTGTTGAGTGACATGGTGTTAGAATGGGCGGATTCGGACAACTCCGGAGTGGAATTGGAGACTTAGCATGGAAGGACCTCGGCCTCAGCGACTCAGGCGGAGCGCTGTGCCATTGCTGGTTGTCCTAGGGGTCCCTAATTTCGGATCTAGCAGAGGGAAAGTCTCTTGGGGGGAATTCATGTCGATTTCGGACTGAGGTTACAAGTTACTAGGTACATTGTATATAAGGAGGGGTCCGGAATCAAAAGGAACAAGGGTAGGACAAAAGGAGACAAAGGGAGATGGAAAGAGGAACAACACCGAGGGTCAAGTGTTTGACTCAATGGTGTTTCCCAAAGGAGGAATGAAGGGCCAAGGCCCAAGGAGGAAGGAAGGAGGATGGGAGTGGGGAATGGCTAGCTGACTGAATAGAAAGGAAGCAGCAGCCCAAATAGGAATGAGGGAGAATAGCGGAATTGAATGGAGCAATGCAATAGTTGCAAGGTCCGACATAAGTCCGGAAAGTCCGAACTCGGAAGTTAAACTCCGGAATATTGGCAAACGTAATTAAATGGAATGAGCTAACCAATACAATGGGCATAAGCGGAGGTGGGGTCAAAGTCCAAGGTCAGAGCTAAGACCGGAGGTTCCGGAGACAGAGACGCGAACGGGATTCCGGAGCGGAGGTCCGGAGTTGGGAGCATAGGTTTTGCGTACTTGTCTGGAAGGTGTCGAGGTTGGGGTCGGACCCGGAATGTTCCGGAGTCGGACCGAAGGTGGTGTCCGAGCCGGAGGTGGGATAACCTCTTGGGAGTCGGCAAGGAGAAGGTGACAGAAGGGAAGTAGGGCTCCGGAAGTCGGTGTTCGGAGTTCCAGGAGCCCGGAGCGGAGGTCGGGATTGTATGGATATGACACATGGCCAAATCTGGGGTGTATGATCCTGGGTTAACAGCAACTAGCTGGTGATGGATTTTGACACATTCTTTGATGAATGGGAGTGCCTCTAAGTGCTGTCCGAGATCAGAAAGAGCATTATGTAGATTGTTGAGTGAGCTGGCCAAATCTGGGGTGTATGCTTCTGGGTTAACAGCAACTAGCTGGCGATAGAGTTTGACACTTTCTTCAATGAATGGGAGTGCCTCCAAGTGCCGTCCAAGATCAGAAAGAGCATTACATAGATTGTTGAGTAAGCTGGCCAAATTTGGGGTATATGATCCTGGGTCAATGGCAACTAGCTGGCGACAGAGTTTGACACTTTCTTTGATGAATGGGAGTGCCTCTGAGTGCCGTCCAAGTCTCCGAAGAGTGACACACAGACTGTTGAGTGACTGGGCTAAATGCGGGGTGTAGGAACTCAGGTCCACAGAAAATAGGTAATGGCAGAGTACAACAGAATCATTTGCTGCCTCATATGCCTCCTGGAATCTTCAAGTTCAATGGAAGCTGGGTAAGCACATTAGCCAGTGCACTAATTGCCCTGTGGTCAACAGCCAACTGGAAGACCATGAGCTAGTTTCTTTAACACAATCCATAACCCATACCTTAGCCCACTGAGGGAGTAACAAGATACTGACATAGTTTTCCATTCTCACACAGACTTCCACCCACCGAATTGCTTCCTGACTCAGAAACATACTAACTGGCCCAGCAAGCTCCTCAGACCATCCCTGGACTCCACTGAGGTGATGAATGATGTGGCGACAGGCATAACAAAAATGCTCAGATAATTCCTTTGGAGGAATGCGCGGCATTTCATGTTTTTTGGACAGGTGTTTAATCTGTCCTAAGCCCTTCACAGAGCAGAGATCCTTGTTCAAAATCTCGGCACACCGCAGGGAAACCCTGGCATTCTCCACCCCCACAGCTATGAGTGTGCAATGAGAGCTGATTGTTTGGGGATCGATCCGATCGACAATAAAATCGCGGAAAGATTGGTGTAAGATGCGAACCGGAATGTGGGAATCCTCAACTCCTGAGAGCAGAGGTGCAAGTTCGGCCAACACATATCGAACAGAAGAATTGAGGAAAGGTGACAAAATTGCGTCCCAGGCTGTGATGGACAGAGGCTGCCGAGCAACGAAGATTGCTCCCATCATGATTGGGTAGTCATGTGCAAAATCTTCTTCCTCCCAAGCACACTTCTTCAAAATGCTTCTATACAAGTCATCCATCATCTTCTCAGCTGGGACCTCTGGTCGTTGGCACCAGTGTCAAGTAGACTTTCTAGTGTCCTCATAGGATCCTTGTTGGCCATCTTCATGTAGCGAAAGATGGTGCTGATCCAGATAAACAAGCCATTTGCTCGTTCCGAGATCACTTGTACCATTTTATCCTCATCCTGAAGATTACGCTGTAAATCCTGATGTACCTTCTTCAGCTTTCGCAGCTGGAAGCGTATGTACCTAGCACAGTCCTGCACGTTTCCCTCATCCGAGAGATCGATACTAAGACGACCAATAGGGTAATTGGGGGAGAGGTAGCGATTCACGAGACCAAACTGTCTTGATGTGATGAAGAATTTGACGGAAGATGGTAGTCTGGGCACTTCATCTCCAAGAATTTCGGCAAGGGATCCGAACACTTCTTTGTCACATTCATCCAAAGCGTCGATGATGATCACCATAGGGCGGTCGGAAGGTGGAGGTTTATGGAGCAGGGGTGAAGCCACTAATTCCTTGAACTGCACCGTGAATGGAGCTGTTGAGAGGGTGGGGTCTTTTCGAAGGGCAGAGATAATGAAGGCACGGTAATCTGCATCACGCTTTGCTAGAGCTTGAGCAATGCCACTGAATAACTGGTCCGGCCGTGGCTGTTCGCCAACTGTGAAGAAAAAGCACAGCAACAGGATAGTCTCCCTGTTACATCTATCTGCAATCGTGTGCACAATCGATGTCTTGCCAGCGCCGGCCACAGAAGTCAGTAGCATCAGCCGGTTCTCGTTATCCCCGGTGTTACGACACCAGTTCATAATACGCTCCGTGAGATCGACCCTGGTGCCTTCTAGGCATGCCTCTGTTGAATCATGGTGGGCGATTTGAGGGTATCGGAGATTATCAAGGATTGGGTCACTCTCCAGCCGGCCTAAGCTGTCCTCTATGGTCGATAATTTGACACCAATTGTTAAATTCGTCCTAAGCTACACCGACCGAACATCAGAATGATTATGGAATGCCGTGAGGAAAGCTACCTGAAATGATGTCAACGCTTTGTCAAAGTCTCTCTTTAGGTCCTCGATTCTCCCTGGGTCTCGATAGTGGGACCATGCATTTCTTACAGCTGACCGTTCCTCTACTTTTCTATCTCTTCGTTCAATTTTGGACCGGATCTCCTGTAGTGCGCTGGTACTGGACGTAAGTATGATATCGAAAACCACCAAAAACCAATACAACGTACTTCGCAAGCTCTGTGACACCCTCCACCCATGACGTTGCCTCTTTCGTTGACACATCATAAGACTTTATGGCTGAAACTACCCGAGCCATAGTGCTAGCTACGTATTCACCAAAATCAGCCCATTGTTTCTTGTTCCCCTTGAACTTCTACGTGGCGCAAACCAGCGTGAGCTTTCATTCATAATCAAGCTTGAATCATTACCAACTTTAACCTCGTCGAGGATGGAGAGTGCACCGCCAGTCGCCATCCTCAGAGGGGGACACCAATCAGCGGTAGCATTGACAACCCTGAGAATCGGAACCGCCATATCAACTCCCGCCACAAGGAGATTATCGATCTTTTGCCTGAGAGCTTCAGCCTTTTGCCGCAACGACATGGTTGACAGCGCACGAGTTGATGGAGGAGAGCGCTTTGGTCACGCAACGCACGTGTGAGCCCCTAAATGCCCAGAAGCCAGAGCCACGAGGCATCCGTCTGATTATAGAAGGTCGAGGAAGGATATGATATACGGATTGACTATTTGGTCGACCATACATACAGACCTCTGATCCAGTACTATCAGCGGCGGATTCTAGAGTCTGCTGCACGAGAGCCAGTATCCCACTGCAGTTGATGTAGCAACCCGTCGTCGTGAGAGGCAAAAGGGCACTAAGCGCCGTATTGCCGATGTGGTGCGGCCGGGCCGCACAACACTAGATCACCAAAGCTCTAACACTTCACGTTGTTCGCACTTGTAGTTTCACCTTTGTCTTGCAGCGCCGTTAGTGCCGCGAAGCCACTGGTCAAGCACAACGGGATGACCTGCAGCACGGTATCCAACGAACAGTGATATCATGCTCAGACGCTCGTCGGACCACCAATAACACCACGTCCTCACAATTTACATCACACACTTCACTTGGTTTTGAGTGAGCGAACAAATCTATAACACATTTCCCCTTCACTGAACGCTGCACCCCGACCCCCCGTCGCAATAAACCGCACTCTGGTAAATCCCTAAGGAGCAAGACTAACGGGCATTTGTCGCGCCGGCTTGCTCCTGCCAGTTGTTTCAGTCGCCAAAGATGTCCAGATTTGTCAATAATCCAACATGACAATCCATACAATTCAGCAGGTAGATGAACGACCAGACTTGCATCAAGAAGAGGGCACTCGCCATTGCTAATCTTCAGATGGACCCCACAAAATGCTCCCACCACTCGCATTTCCGCTGACTGCTCGCAGGGATGGGAAGCCGTCACCTAACAAATTAAAATTAGTTACTGTAGAGCACCTCACACTCGGAGGCCACGTCATTACTTTGAGCGATCGGCGAGCTTCACAATCTCCTCTCCGTTGTACGCAATGATATATAATGAATGATCCATCGATCCGACCTAGAAAACGTTCGACATCAGTCATTTCGGGGATATTGTATGGACTAACAGTGAAGTGGGATGGTTCATTGAGATTCTAACACCACTGAACCTTCAGCACCGTCAACAAACGTCCAGTTCGACAGTTATAAGCTTTTTGGATTGGCTGGGGAAACTTTAATTTCTCTCCCGATGAGAGCCAAGTATCTGGATCCCAAACTCATTCCGCGCAGGTCAGTGAGAAATGGTGGCTCCGGATATGAATAAAACTGACTTCTCAAATTATCATCATAGCACGTTGTCACTATTTCCCTCCCTCTAGGGTCCCAAAAATCTGAGCTAACACTGTATTTATGCTCAATTTGCCCAAGGATACAGCCCCGACCAAGTTTTGATGAAAGGAAATCCGTGGCAGCCTCGTGATCTTCTTCTAGGACAGGAGGCGGCTTCGCTTTGGAGCCGTCATCATCACCCTCAACAAGTGCTCTAGTTTCAATTAACATAAGCTTTCGAAGGTCCCATATTCTGCCATTGGAGGAGCAGGTTAAGTCCAAAGCACTAGTAGCATTGCTGACGCTTACTTCAGGGAAAGATCGTTGCTCGCGGTGCACAAGAGGTGACTCCTTCCAGCAGCAGGATTGATGCTGACATTCAATTTAGCGTTCACTTGTCTCCGCAATCGACTGCCTTCGCGGAGGTTCAAAAAAGGAGATCCATAGTTCATTCCCACATGACGCGATATTAATGGATGTGAGAACTGTCGAAGTCGAGGCAAGAGACAAAAGCTCAGTAGATTGTCAACTTAGATTGCCCAGATGTCAAGGAGGTCACATGCAGCCTGGAATCATAGGATGTCGTAGAAACCTATGTAACGGAATGAGCTGAGTGATTCCCATCCGCCGCGCCTTTCACTCACACCACATGAGCATCGGTCGGGCTGAATTTGATGCAAGATATCGAGCTCTTTGGAGATCCTGGTCAATGAGGCTGTAAACGCCTCCTCATTCTCGCGTATCATACTCGTACTCTTCGTTCTCTTCGATGGCGCCGCGCCAACGCATCCCAAATACCAAGTTGGCCATGCTTATCCCCAACAAAAATGAGATCTTTCGTTTTCTCCGGGTGGTAAGCCATGGAATAAACACTCCCCCCTCGTAACCTTGGCTCGCGATAGCACGATCCATGCGGCTAAGTCTTTTCCTAAATCAGGATCGCTGCCCCGCCTGTGACAGCTTCCCAGCGCCGTAGCCTCGTGGGTAACTGCTTTCTCGAGAAAAGTCACGACACACTGGGCAAATGCACGAGCAATGCCTCTCCACCTGAAATGGTCAGACCTGCTTCTGCCTCACGCTGAGGTTTTTGACCCTCGTGTCGGAAAACGCCTTTCTGACTCGCTCCTTGCGCTCTTCAGGACCCGCATCAAGAAAATTGAAATTATTTGTCGAATCCGTGCATTTCCACACACTCGGAGCTCCGCTGCAGCAATCTTGGCAAGGGTGGATGGCGCCTTATCCTTGACTATTCTTCTTCAAGCCAGCGACATTGGTATTGGCAGATACTCCGACCTTGAAGGGCGCTCCAATGGGCCTGTCTTCGTGATCCATGAGGAGGCACCAGAGTTTCATGGCGGTGGTTGGGCCACTCTGTAGCAACCTCGAATGCTTGCATGGAATATCCATCGAATCAAACGATAACGCGGGTAGGATTGCCGATGCACCCACTCATTCACCCCGGTGATTCTCCAGCCCGATCGCGGAGCTCGTCTCTGCGTTCGTGTATCTTGCTTCTCGGTGCTCGAATTATGTATCCTTTTCCCTGTCCCGCGATGTCCAAAGCTCTTCGAGCACGATTCGTAGTTCCAGTCAAATGTCAAACATCACCGTCGGGTTCGTCAAACAGGCTATTGTCGATCGCGTCTCACACTGTTTTTTTAGTCGCCCATCGGGTAGAACGTTAGCGGCGTAATGCTTCGTTACTAGCTCATGCATCCTCGAGTGCTATCTTTCTGCAGCTTTCGACACGTCTTTCCTAAGGTGGCTATCTCCGAGTACGCTGAAGTGGAAACCCGGGGCTGTTTAGTCGCACTGTTGAATTGAAGAATCAAGAAAAGAAAACTATGAGAGTATGCTGATTATGCAAATTAAAGCAGCCCCAAAAGTGAGAAGAAGTGGGTGCCAGCCGACCCTCGCTAGTTATTGGCACCTTATTGCCTATCTACTCAGGGCGACGCTTCCCATCTAGCAGAACCCTGATGCTAGTCAATGGCTGGGACGGTATTCGGACGACGTGACGGTAGACTGCTAAGGAAGAACGCAAATTGCCTGGTATAATGAAGCGCTAGGGTGTGACCCAACCCAAACAATGTGGACCCACGTCACGGTGCCTAGCGAATTGTTCCTTGTGAAAGCCGGGGTGTAATTCTCCCTGATCGCCTGGGAAACGTTCATCCTGGAGTGGTTTCGGTCGTGCTGAAAGGGATATCCTTCTGTCGAACTGCGTTTTGCACTAAATTAGCGCCGCTTCCATCTTATTGACGTAAAGTCTTGAATATAATCTCACTCCACCCGGACCAGCGTGCGCAATCTTCTGTGGAAGAATGCAGTCCTGGTCGATTGACTGCAATCATGAGACAGACTGTCAGAATGCGGGGTGGGGCAAGTTGGTGGGTATTCCAAGAGCATACTATTTCCGCGAGTGAGTGCGACGAATACGGGTTGAAATGTGCTCGCCAATAGGCCAACGCGAACCGCAAACGCCTTCTCATTCCCTCGAGAGGCGAATGCTGGTTAATGCTGGTGGCGTAGAGCGAGCAACAACACTACGTGTGACCCATAGGCAGGGGTGAATGTGTATGCAAAGAGCCAGGTGGATGTACGTCACAAAGGTCAGCAATCACTCTTCTTCAGGTCAGGAAGCACTTGAAGCCATATGGAACAATGGGTCAAGTTATTGATGACGCAAGCACATTGGGTATCAAGTGGTGTCACTGGCTAGCGTCTCACTAGTATTCCGGGTAGTTTCACATGCTTCTTGTGTATCCAACGATCGGACGAGACCCCGATCGCAATCAATCCACCTCGTTGTCAACCGTTTGGCTTGCTGATATGCTATACATTGGCAGTCACTAAATCCCTTGATGACATTTCACTGTGGGAAGTAAACCTTGGTAAATTACCAAGTTTTCGAAGGTAAAGGACCATTTACTAAGTTTCGGGTGGTAATTGAGGAATGGTAATGTACCAACATGCCTGACGAGGGTTGGTGAGTCGAGTTACTAAGTTTTGCGCTCCGTATTTTACCAGATATCTTATGGTATTCAGCGACGTGATACATAAGTAGGATTTCATGTTACATACACCTGTATTACAGTAAAATGCAATGTAATTAATCATCATCGACGTCAAAAATGGGCCATGCAAGCTCAATACTAGGGTCTACAATCGCCCATCGCAGCGATGCGGTTCCATAACAAAACCGACCACATACTGATGATACCAATGCTAACGCGATAATCTGTGTCATCTCTGAGAGAGAGGTGAAGGATACTGGAGTGAGCGCAGCATTGTCATAAGCTCCGCAATCAGAAACAAGAGCGAGTACATGAGTCGTTGGCGCATCGATGCCCAGGAAATTCGAAGTCGGGAGAGTGCATACTAGTATCTCATACAGTATGCCGTAGCAAATTTGCTTGATAAGCGGGTCTTTCGACGGACACGGGGATTTGAATCTACGGCAACCTCATGCTGAGTTGCACTCAGTAAAACGTCTGATTAGAGAGCAATCAGACAACTCACCCTAACAAAAGATAGTTCTTCCGTCGACTTTGTGCCCAAGAGGCACTTTATCACCTCCACCCGCAATACGTGACTTCCCCCATCGTGGCATGACTTCCGGCAGCCATCTGATAATCTCATGAAACGGTTTGAGATACACAATAGTGAGATTTTACGTCAAAGTGAGGCATCAGGGACATAATCCTTCTTGCACAGGCTCCGGAGGATGTTTGGGGTCCATGAGTGATAGATAGAATACTTCAGAGCTTTTGACGTTCTAGGACAGTGCAGCACTGGTCTGACGCGTTGATAGTTGTGGCGCCTAAGTTAAATTCGGCAACTCCCGAGCACCTAACCTCTTGCCATCTATCCTCCGCACTTTAAACACTGTTGTGTACTTTGCACAAAAACACACTTCATTAAAGCCTCTTAGCTTGTGATATTGCTCTACTGGTGAGACAACACGCTTTTTATGGAAAATGAACTATGAACATCAGAATTCCAATGTCACTAGCCTCATCTGATGTGCTGTACCACGCATCCTATCATACATCTTTTGCGTGTCTTTTCACGCGTCTTTTTGTCCCTCATCAGACTATCGATACATTCCCCATCTTATTATGCCTCCAGTTGCTATGGTAAGTGTAGCATACACTCATGGGACTCACCCAATCCGCGGATCTCTCTGTTGCACAGAAAATCAAGATCCCTGATCCGCGAGGCCAAGGAAACTGTAAAAAGTACTCCATAGAAGAGACCCTTGGCATGGAATGAAACGAGTATGTTAACCAACCCCAAGCCTAGACTGACTATGAAAACTCGTGGATCGCTGAAGTCCTAAAGGGGAAAGGCAGAGCAATGCCGACACTCAGGGGTTCAAAGATTTAACCTAGCTATGTTGTCTGTCGCTTACCACTCCCAAAAGTCATAATCCACACACTAACTACTGTTGCTTTTTTACAGAACTTCTCTCTGGTTGCTTGCGTTCGCTCTCATTTCACTCTTACTTACACTGTTATTGCCAACTCATTCAACTTTACCTGACTTGCTACATGCTCTTTCGCATAGAGTGCTTCGACTTTGCTGCTCCCATTCGATCTCTCTTGGTACTGTACTGCTTGTACCTTGCCATTTACACATATTCACTTGTAGCATCACACTTCTGATGACCACGCTTCATGTATACGCATGTATTACCTACCGTTCAAAACATCGTAAATGAGTATTCTCCGACCCATATTGTACCATGCCAAAGATTGTAAAGTACCAACAATGAATCAATAAATGACCAATTACCAATCTGGTAAAAATGGCCGTTTACCACGAAAAACATCGTACATCACCAGAAAAATCGATGTCATTCACCATGTCTGGTCTGGTATCCATTTCTGGTCCATTACTACTTACAAATTGGTACATTACCACTGCTCCGGTGGTGTTTGAGCTCGTATTTTACCAGACGAAAAATGGTATATATTTTCCACTGTGATTTGCGCGGCGGACTGTTGGTCACAGTGGAAAATATTTACCATTTTTCGTCTGGTAAAATACGAGTTCAAACACCACCGGAGCGGTGGTAATATACCAATTTGTATGCAGTAATTGACCAGAAATGGTGAATAACATCAGTTTTTCTGGTGATGTACGATGTTTTTTATGGTAAACGGCCATTTTTACCAGATTGGTATTTGGTCATTTACTGATTCGTTGTTGGTACTTTACAATCTTTGGCATGGTGCAATATGGGTCAGAGAGTATTCATTTACGGTGTTTTATATGATAGTGAATACATGCATATACACAAACCGTGGCCATCAGAAGTGACCCACAGGCGATGCACAAGCAGTACAGTACCAAGAGAGATTGAATGGTAGTGGAAAACTCGAAGCATTCTATGCGAAAAAGAGCGGAGGTGGGATTGGGCGGAGTTGAACGAGTCGGTGATAGCAGTGTGAGTAAGAGTGAAAGGAGTTAGCGCGAGTGACCAGAGAGAAGTACTGTAAAAAAGCAACAGTAGTTAGTACATGGGCTATGACTTTTGGGAGTGACAAGCGATGGAAGACATAGCTAGGTCAAATCCCTGATGACTTGGGCATTGGCATTGCTCTGCTTTTTCCTTGCTGTTTGTTGTATGGGATGCTCCCTCCTCGATCGCATCGCATGATGAGTTGTCGATACAGCTCTTCATTTACTTCAGGTTGGGGCATTCAGCGATTCATAGTCTCAAGTTCAGGGTGTTTTGAAACAAGCTTTGAGAGTCAGTTAGAATGGAGATGTGCAAGAGCAATAAAGGGACTGACCCTTTCAGTTGTTGGTATGTCACCCCAGTGTGTGTGAGACTGCGTGTCAGACATCATGCTAAAGAAGACCATGAACTTGGCCTCGCAGATCAGGAGTCTTGATTTTCTGTGCAACAGAGAGATCCACAGATCGGGTGAGTCCCACAAGTATATGCTATACTTATTTTGACATCGTGAAAAGGAGAGTGCATCGGCAACCTACGTGTCTTTCCACACGTCTTTCCACGCGTTCCACGCGTCTTTTGTCCTTCATTGCACAAGTTGCATTCAGCAACTCCTGAGTCCCTTACCTTCGCCTCTCATCATCTGCCCTCCTCCCGACTGTAAATGCTATCGTGTATTTTGCCCACAAACACGCTTCATTGAGACTTCTTAACCTGTTATATTGCTCCACTAGTGAGACAACACGCTTTCCATGGCAAATGAGCAATAAACATCGGAATTCCAACATGATCAGTCTTATCTGACATGCCTTATCATGCATCCTATCACACATCTTTCCACGCATCTGTTAGAACGTGCGGATTCGGACGACTCCGGAGTGGAATCGGAGACTTAGCATGGAAGGACCTCGGC